ACTCGCAAACAATAGATACTCGCTCGGACACCCGCTCATCAACGACGTCGGATACCATAGAAACAAGGTAGCCTTGACAGCTACCCCTGGAAAGGCTCTTCCTAGCTTGCATAGAAGAGATGACCCGAGGCATAGTCCTCGAACTCACCCCAAAGAACACAACGGGCTGATCAGAAACGGGATAGAGAGTGACTTCGCGCTCTTGGCACCGGATGTCGGCTCGATAACGGGTGAGCCAGTCCATGCCCAAGATCACGTCGAAGTCTCGCATATCGATAACATACACGTCGGCCTCCAGAACTCGACCACCAACACAGATAGGAAGATTACGAACTACTGAATCAGAAACAATAACTTTTCTCGAGGCTAAGCTAACCTCGAGAGGATCACAAGCATGCACGGTGCTAATAGATAAGGCCTCCAGACAACGAGACGAGATAAAAGAATGGGTAGCACCGGTATCACACAAAGCAAAAACAGGCACATGGGATATAGAAAGCATTCCGGACATGGTACCTGCATTACGAGCGGCCTCATCATGGGTGATGGTATAGACACGGGCCTGACCCCCAACTCTCTGCTGGAACGGTGGGGGCTGCTGCTGCTGATGGGGTAGTGGTGGGGGAAGCTGCTGCTGCTGAGGAAAACGCTGCTGCTGCTGCTGCTGAGGGAACTGCTGCTGCTTCTTGGGCTCCGGACAAACACTGGCATAATGGCCTGGACAGTTGCAGTTGAAGCAGGCTCGCTGGTCGGCTAAGCACTCGCCACTATGGTACTTGCCACATTTCTTGCAGGTGCGGTTGACAGAAGAGGGATGATTGTGCCGATCTGGTCCTCCTCGCTTTCCCTTCCGGTTATCCCGGTGGGAATCTGCCTTTCTCTTACCCGAACTAGAGCCGGGCGGTGCCGAGGAAATAGGCTAAGCATACTGGACCACAGTCTGAGACGACTGAGAGGCAGGAGAATAAGATGAGATAGGAATAACCGGGATGAGACAGCTCTCCACCTCCTGGGCTCGGCTCACGGTATCAGCATAGGACATCGGTCCATGACTTCCCACCAACTCGCGGATCCTCTGGTTGAGACCCTTGAGAAACTTTCGGGCCTTCTTAGCATCAGTGTTCACCGCGTCACCCGCAAAAAGGCACATACGGGTGAAAGTGCGGATGTACTCATCCACCGAGGAACTGCCCTGCTGCAAGTGATAGAATTCGTGCTCCATTCTGTCCCAAAAGCTCTGAGGGAGGAACTTACTGCGCACCATCACTTTCATTTGCTCCCAAGTGAGAGCATGAAGCTCCGCCTCGGGCCTCCGAGCCCAAAGCTCAATCCACCAGTCTGAGGCGTCTTCCTTCATCTGATACGCCGCAAGAGACACGCGCTGACGGTCGGGAAGGGGAAGCACAACAAAGTTTTATCCAGCTCCTTCATCCACTCAAGCACAGCTGTGGGGTTCTCTGTCCCCGAGAAAGTAGGCGCATTCATGCGCTGAAACTGAACGATCAGCTGAGTGAGGTCCATGGCCGGAGGGGCCTGACGCTGACGACGAGGAGGAGAAGGAGATGGGGATGGCTGACGATTACGGTGGCGAGTATTCATACTTCTATATTGAACAAGCCGAGCAAAGTTAGCACAGAAAACAAACAATAATACATCAGAAGTCTAGAGTTCACCACAAACACTAGAGTTCGATTAATTCAAGGTGGATAGATCCTAAGCCCCATGGATAATAAGTAACTCACAAGTTCATCACGAGTAGTTTCATTACTACAAGTGTATTAATTATATAACAAGTACTTAAATCAAAACATACCTTAAGCAGTGCGGAGTGACGGAGACGAGTGGTCGTAACACAAGGTCTAAACACATAATCACATATGTGCCAGTGTACAGAAACGCAGACTGGCTCTGATACCAAACTGTAACACCCCACTTTGATTTTAA